AACCTCCAGACCACTGAGCCGGCATCCAAAAATAATAATGTCTAACTTTAATTAATCTCAGGTTTTGCGCGACCTCACCAATTGTGTTCGGTAGTTACTGCTTTCACCCGACAGAGTTGAATTCCCCGGGTCACAGCTTCTTACAATGACCCTGAGAAATTCCTCACAAAGTTAATAACTAATGAGCACATTGTATGATGGTGGCCTAATAATGATCGATTCATGATTTCAATCAAAAACAACAATCTCTATAATTTTATGATGAATATAAATATTACATTACTTTTGATTTCAAAAACATTTTCACGAAATCTGATTTAGGTCGCCGTGAAATCAGTCACAGATCAGTGTATAAGAATTTGACGACGTCAAAATGCGAGGCATATACTTTAAAATTAATGTTACATTTTCTTTATCATTGATCCGTTAATTCTAGAATGACTACGTTTATAACTCAATAATAACTTCGTACAGTTAGTGGACTAGGAACACGAAATCGATAGGTGGGACGTATTTTACACCGGTAATGAACCGAATTGGTCTTTTAATGCAGTTAATTTCTTAAGATTTATTTACCATAATCAACAGTCAGATTTGTACAAACTGAGTTGGGTTGTACTTGACATTAATGTATGATTAATTTACTGTATGTGAACGAATTTAGTATGCCATAAAATTAAACTACTGCCGTCAGACGATTTAATGAGTAAAAATTGAAAAAAATGATTTTGTAGGTCATCTGCACTACAATCTATTAAGTCTTTGCTTACCTATAAATTGATGCTCGAATGACGGACTGTATGAGATAACCGTAAGAACAGTTAATGCATTGAATTAAATCTTGAACCGACGAATTATCTGAAGATGAAGTCATTGACAGGTTGGCTAAATCACACGTTTTTTTTCTAAAAAAGTGTTATATATATATATATATATATTGCTGTAAGGAACTCGATTCTGATACTGATATATAGGCTTCCTCTACGCAAACCCAACATGCCACTTCAGTCAGAAAACTGAGAATGAGAAGGTTATTTTTATTGGTTGAACCTAAGTAACGGATATTTGCATTTAAACGAGTTTCTCTTACCTAAATTTAAGTAACGTATTCAATCAGTGGTATGTTTCTCCCCTAAAAAAGGAAGCCAGGTCTTGGCCAATAGCGTGTACTCATCACTTAACAGTCATCTGACTGGCCCATTGCATCGAAGTCGAAATACTTAATTCAAATAGTGTGATTATGAATTACTATATGGGATGACAAGATAAATTACTTGAAATGATGCAGATTCAGTTCAAGAATTAACCGGTGAAACGACATATCTGCGCATCTTATCAATCTGATTGTTCGTCTATCGATAAAAAAATGCATTTCATATTACCTTTGAATTGAAACTTCATGAAAAAGATACAGAGTGTGAAATAATACTGAGAGTCAGAATAAATCTAAAGAATGTATACCTTTTGAATGAATCAATGGGATTGATAGCAAGCTACCTAAGGGGTTATGATTGATATTCATCGAAAGGTATTGTATGCAATCTTTATGACATTCCTTTAGATCAACGTATCCTGAATTGAGTATTGTGTTAATCAATTCTACTGAACCATAACACTCATTTTTAATGATGAATAACAAAGCACCTAGTTCCATTGAACTATTGAGCCTAGGCTAATGATGATGTTAACGATGATATGAAATCAAGCCAAACTAATAGATCTCATTGTCCATTAAGTAAAAATGCATTGAAAATAAAAGAAAAAGTACATTCTATGTGTACCTTTGTTAATCGTAAAGAAAAATCAATAAAACCATTAGTGCAAGTGAGTTTAAAGCATTAAATGAGTGATGAAGGTTAATGCAATGGAAGTTGAACGTAAATTGTCTACTATAACGCGATGAATATTGCGAAAGAATATTGTTTCCATTTTTATTGTATAATTACTCGATACCATGATGATTTTGTGTATATATCCTTTAAGCTTTTCATAATGTGTAAACTGTCTTTTAGTGTTATAGTGTGCTTAGGTTACTGTTAATTTATTACTAACCAATCATCTAATCCACTTTCTCTTATGATGTAGTTATGATTATGTAGTGATTTTTTATGTCGATGTAAGGTCAAGAATTAATATACATTACTAGATGAGTTAGTTTTGTGAACTGGATTGTACAATAAAAATGTATCCACCTGTTCCATTTTGGCTATAGGATTGGCAAGAATGAGAAGCTCCATCATGGACTAGCTGTTGTTTCACCTTCATCTGATTTATTGGTCAAAGGTCATTTCAACCATTCTAGGCAAATTAATCAATCATTGTGCTTTATAGTCCATTTGCTTCCAGAAGAATAACCCTATCACATGAGAGTGGAAAAGTTGGCATAAATGGGATTGGATGATTGTTACAAAGTATTACCTAATGATTGAAATTAGAATTGTATCATTGCACCGGTGGCTTTAATTGTTAGTCGATTACTGTGAGACCGACTGGTTCTCTATTCTGTCCCTGATAGGGTCATAGGTAACTAATGCTGAGGAATCTCATACTAGGATGAAACAACTGCCTAATGGTCCCTGATCTAAAATGGTATACCAGCTGAAATCAATCCATAATTAATCAGCCTATAAATCAAATCAGTCTTAGCGAAATCCTTCCAATAAAATTAATGTACAGCTAGCTACTTGTATTTAGATTGTAATTAAAGTTTACTAAATATCTAATGAACACATGTCACCGGAAGTTAGATTTAATCTTTCATTGTGTATTATCAACTCGTGTACTAGAATTGTTTTACAGAACCTATGGTTCATATCGCCCTTAAAAAGAGGTCTAAAACAGCAGTTTTTCATTCCTTGGAGGTTGTTTAAAGCTACTGAAGGAAGTGGCTAGTGATAAACGTAAACCCAACCTAGGCAGAAATTATTTATCATAAACATCAATGTAATAATGACTAAAAGTCACTATGTATTGACAGAAATTAAATAACTGATCAATGTGAAGAGAACTACACCCAAAGCATATGACTACTATTATTTTGATTATAAAATAGAGGAATAAACATTTAGTTCAGTAGTATTCTCTTTTCTAAAATATACCCTCTACTGATTTAAAAAAAGATTTTCGATGTTAGTTTTAGTATTTTGATGATTCTGTTGTTAGTTCTCTAAGTTTCAGCTCCGAACAATAAGACTATTCTAATGTTAGTATTGACAATTCTAATTTTGCCTTTTATGATAGTTGTTTTGAATTAAAGATATTCAAAAATTGGAAGGACTTTTCCTTTGCTTTAACAGTTCGTGCATTTAAATCTGTGTCAGACCCTCCTTCTTTACTTATAATGATACCTAGGTGTAGAGGCTTCTACCTATTCCAGAGCTTATCCACCTAGTGTGGTTTGGTCAGTGTTTGATGTATCGCATTTTAGGATCTTGGATTGTCCCCCATGGATATTATGGCCTACTACTGTACATGTTGCTTCTACGCTGACTTTCTTCCATTCTATATTGTTGTGTATGAGACAGAAGGGCTAAGTTGTCAGTGAAGTCCAAATCACCTAACTTTGTTCAAAGTGCCCTCTTTATTCCGCACTTTTGAGATTCGGAGGTCATCGTAATTCATTTCACAAGTTGGAGAACGAGTGGAGGATAGAGGAGAGAAATTTGTTTGAAACCACTCATCACTCTGAATACATCAGATAACTCCACTTCACGCACAACTTTGTTAATTCATTTTCTCATAAGAAGTCCCTATTGTGTTATCGATCTTCACAAGCACTCTGCAGTTTCACAGCAGATTCTACAATGATATCTTATCCTCACTGTCTAGTATTTTTATAAAACCAAAGAATTAAATGCATAAAGACTAGTCCCATCCCATTGATTGTTCAACAATAATCTGTAGTATCGAGATTTGATTAGTACACGATTTATCTTTATGGAATCCTGCCTGTTGATTTCGAAGTTCATTATCTACAGATCCTTTCATGCGGTTCAACAACACTGTGTTGGAAACTTTGCCTGATATTGATAGTATTGTGATGTCTCTGTAGTTCTCACATTGCCAAAATTTCCTTTCTTCGGTATCTTGAGCAGATTTCTTTCTTTACAACTTGTTGATAACTGTTCTCTATCCCAAGTCTTCCGGAAGAGAACGTGAAGCATTTCGCAGTTCTTTATATGCCTTCTCCCACTGACTCAGCTGATATCTTGTCTGATGTTGTTGATTTAACAGTCCTTGATCTGTCTGATGGTTATTCTGATTTTTTCGGTTGTTAGTGGGGTAAATTAAATAGGAAGGTTTGTGTATCAGATGCATTGATGTCCAGTGCGTCCAGTGTGACTGTTTTGTTCAAGAGAACTTCAGTTTGTCTTATGCACCTTTTCTATTACACTTGAACCTCAATGATTTGTTCTTGACTGAATTTCACTTATTTCCGTTGCTATTCGAGTAACTTTTCCCGTCTCTCACATTTTTCACATGTTTATTATTGCCCTAATTGTTAAAAGTGGTTTTGACTTCATGACTTCTAAAGGTTCTCAGATTTCACCATTACGCATCATTACCCCTCTGTATGGAAACCCTTCAATTCTCAAGTTAATGTGTGACGACTGGTCTTCAACAATTAGTTATTTTGCAACTATATATTCTGCTCTTCAAAGGATAAGAGCCGGCAACACATTCATAGAGGCTCCAGAAAGAATTAATCCTCCTTGTTCAGAGTTAACTGAATTTGTTAAACAAGACTTTCTGGCATGTATTAATAACCAAGTGTAACTCTTTGAAGAAATCATCCAACTGTCTGCACAAAAACTCAGATAAATTTTCAGAACCTGTAATCGTTTTGTTGTAATCCGTATATCCATCACTTTACAGTTAGTAAGAGAATAAACAATTTTACTTTCCATATTGAAACGGATTATTTTTTGGCAATTATTCTTCAAATTTATGATTATTCAATCCATCATGACACTTGTTTATTCTTTTTCTTATTTTTAAAGGTCATATGATATTGGTCGATATCTTCGTTTCGTGATTGTTTCACCATTAAACTCTAATATTACTAAACCATCAATAACGGGAATTGTTTTTCTACCATCGAACAGATTTCGACATTTCCTTTACTTATTTTAAATAAGCATTAATTTGCGTGATTTACAATCGTGGAGGTCACAACTATTCAACCAGTAGAAAACGGGTCAGTTGACCATAAGAAAGAGGTACATAAATTAGAAGGTGATCAACTCCCACCTTTAGCTACTGAAGAATTAGAACAAATAACTCCTAGTCAGGATAGTGATAAAAGTGATACTGAGTCAGTAAACTCAGGTGAAATCTTTGAGGGCGATCACACTGATCGCTGTCTGAAAGAACAAGACGTTGAGGTGAATAAAGAAATTTGTTTTCAAGGGGTGAATATTGTTGAGGACGAAGGGGTCTTAGTATCCGACAACGACCTACCATCACCTCCAATTTCAGTTGATCAAGAGTTTCATATAGAGAATAGTGAAGACTTACCAGTGTTTCCTTTGACACCTTCAACAACTACAGAAAATTACATCAATCCTGAATTATTGTCAAACAGCCAACCAGAAGCAATACTCGAATACTGTTCAGATATTAAAACTGAACAAATTCTAGGTGAAACTCTAGATAAAATAAGTGATAACTACTTAGTTGAATCAATTAACTTATCTTTAGAGTCTATTCCATCTACAAAGAATTTCACAGAGGAAGAGATCGACAATTCATTAAAAGAACCTACTGAACAACAACTGAATGTTCAGTTTGTTGACGATTTAGAAAATAACGCAGAGGCTCAAGTTGATGAACAGAACAACGTTACTAGTATATTTAAACTAAACGATAAATTGAACACTGAAAAGGAATCAACTGATTCATTTAACTTTGAGAAAGAACCAATCGACTTATTGAATTCTGAAAACGAGAGAGAATTTTCTCTTTCATCTACTTGTGAAAAACAAATTCACATATCTCCTGATCTTGAAGAACTAATCGATCCAGTTAATATTCAGAGTGAAATAAACGTTTCTGGTGAATCAGAAAATTCTCAGACTTTTCAACCATACAGAGATAAATTAGTTGTTGAAACCTCAAAATCCTCAACGTCCAACGAATTGTGTCCAGAAGAAGAAAAAGAAGAATTAGTGATAGTAGATGAGCACAGTGAAAATAATTCTCCAATCGGTACTGAACTAATTGAAGAAACACATTCTAGCTCTTTGTTTGTAAATTCTGCAACACCATCAGTACTAACCGACCTACCAAATCAATTGACAGAAACGAATTATCGAAACTCATTGACATCCAGTGAAATTATCCCATCGAAACATACTTCATCAACTAATTCATTAAGTGATTCTGTGAATAATACGACAGACATTAGTAATACTAATAATAATCAAGATAATTTAAAAGAATTAACTTTGAACACTTTAAATTGTGATACATCAATGAGTACTACAGTTGGTGTATCTGAGATAATGGCTGATCAATCAGAAATAAATCGGGAATCATCATATACTTTTTATCCGTCTTACGATATGCCATCTGAAAGTTCTATTGGACATCTAAATCGTACTGAATATCAAAGTAGTTTAAATGGTGGAGATGAAGAAAATCTTAATCAAATTAATGATCATGAAGATAATCAAATGAATGATGATCGGTCAGAGTATACCAACATGAAAACTGAAGAAAGTTATCATGATTCTACATGTCCATCGCATTCAGAACAAGAATTAGATCAAGACACTTTGAAAAGTGAACATGATAAAAATGAATTGGGTACAGAAAAAAATATGGAGGGTTTGAATATTGAAAATGTTGAAAATCAACAAAAATTGACTTTTAATCAAATTAAAGAAGATTTAGAGAAAAAGAAGTGAGTTAAAGTGTCATCTCGTTTCTTTTTTTAAATTTTCTTCTAAGAAAATTTATCTTTGCACAATGTTGTTTCCAAGGTCAAGTTAATGATAGACGTAAAATATATAGATGGTTCTGTGTGACTTATAGGTCAATCAGAAGAGATTGTAGGTTTAGATTGTCAGGCTAATTAAAGTGAACAAGTAACAATCTTAACAGCTGATAAGCAAATTTAACATGAATGGCAAACTGCCATATGTATATTTTTGTGGCTTTTATGACAACTGATATCACCTATAACACAAGAATGCTTTGTAGTTATGTGGATAGATGAATTTTTTATCAAATTGCAAGAGACGCTATCTGAAATCTTAGTGGTTCTTCCATATACGTTCTTTTAAGTTAAGAGGTATTATAAGCTTGTTTTTGATGTGTAGTAGCATACAAAACAGCGATATTTCATGTTATTTTTTCACGCATTTACTTGATATATCAGCTACAAAAATTAGCCATTACTTTAAATATGTTTCTAAAGGTTTTCTTTAAGTACCACTTTTGTCTTTAGAAGGATTAATCAGAGTGAAAACTCCTGCTTCGTTTTTGGATTGAATTGTTCATGTCAGTCAGAAGTGCCGACCAAATTGCGAGACTAGAGATCATCGTTGAACAATTAATGGGATGGAACTCACCAGTATACATCAGCTTCTTTGACAATGAAAAAACATTTGACGTGTACAAAAGAGAATTTGGAAACTTCCCCGACGCTACGGTCTACCTAAAATGATGGTCAACATTGTAAGAAATTCTTATGACCAACTACACTAAAAAATCGTGCAAAGAGGACAACTCACAGACTTATTCCAAGTGAAAACCGGAGTCAGAAGAGGTTACTTACTCTCACCCTTTCTCTTTCTCCTGGTGATTTGTTAGATTATGAAGACGTCAACATCTGGGAGAAAGCACGGAATACAGTGAACAGCTGGGATGCAGCTGAACGATCTGGACTTCGCAACTGATCTGGCTCTTCTATCATACACACAACGACAAAATTCAGATAAGGACGGTCAATGGAGCAGCTACCTCTGCAGCAGTAGATCTCAACATAAGCAAGGAAAGAAGTAAGATCCGCCAATACAACACACTATGTACCAATCAAGCCACAATTGATAGAGAAGTTTGGAAGATAAGGAAACGTTTACAAATCTGTGAAGCAACAGCGACAAACAAGGTGGATCTCATGCACATGTAAATATACGGTTTGGTAAAACAAGGACTGTATTTCTACAATTGAAAAACATCTGTAACTCAAATCAACTGTCAACCAACACCGAAGTCACAGTTTTCAATACGAATGCCAACAACCTATTGTGGGAGAGAACACACCAGATTCCAACTGAAGGAGAAATTCGGAAAGAGTAGTGGAAGTGGATCGGACATACACTGCAGAAATTTCCCCACTGCACCACAAGGCCAGCCCCAACTTGGGACCTTCAAGGCCAAAGGAAAAGAGGTTGACCAAAAACACATCACTCCGGGAATCGGAGGTAGACAGTAAAAATGAGTAACATTTAGGAATAACTGGGAAAAATAATCTGGGACAATGCTATTTGTAGATTGTTGGTCGGTGACCTATGCTCAATTGGGTGTACTAGGCGTGATTAAGTAAGTAGCACTGAAACTGCATAAAATGACCTTAAAGTTCCACGGTGGACACATTAATTTAATTCATCTAGAAAGGGGAAGAAATTCGTAGCAAATAATTTTCAAATTAATCACATTTATTATAAGGATTTCGTTGATTGTAAGAAGTGTATAATAAATCTATTTAATGAACGCTCGTTCCGGTTGCTTAGCAGCTTCTACTAACCCGAGAAAATACATACACAATAACTTGAACGCAGAGAAAGCGCACAAATTGCAAAATCAAAGACTTACAATAAAGATTTATTTGTTTCTCAAAATAAATCAAATGATTACCAAACAAATTTATAGAAATTGAACTAACTTGTATTTAAGAGTAATAATTTCAACCACTTACTGTGTGAAAACACACTTAATAAATATTTTACATTTAAGTCTTGCTAAGTTGTGAATATTTTTGTTACAGACGATTGAAAAAAGAAAACACACCTATTTCAAATGTCATTCACACCACTTGATTAAACGATTACTCATCATATCAGTTTATTATTGTTACGTTTAGTGAGTTCACTTACAAAATAGGATAATCCGGAAATAGCTTTACATGGAAATTGAGCAGATTCCATTCATTGGGGAATTTAGTGTGCCATATAAATCTTTTTGAATGTATACAGGAAAAAAATAGACTATTTAATCAAGGAGAAGTATCGAATACAAAGAAGCATTGAACCATATTTATAAATCTTCATCACCTTACAAGTTTCATGGTTGCAATTAAAAATTCGTGAATCTTATCATCAGTCGTAATTTCTCTCTACATTTTTTTAAAAGTAGTTTCGAAAGTCGTTAGTGTATCTCATTCATTTGAATAGTTCACAATGGGAACTAATACAGCATTTCTTACTACAGAGTTTTGAATGATCACTTTTCTTTCTGTTGATCAGTTTACTTTTTCAATCTTCAACCTATTTCACGCACGTTATTATTATTATCATGCTGTTGATCATCTTTATCATTATCGATAAACCAACCTATCAATTGACTATGAATTATTTTTTTTTTTTAATTTTTTACATGGTATGATTAATTGATTATTTTGATTTTAACTGTTATCATTCACACAACACAAATCATTGTAATTATTAATCGTATATGACTATCAATAAATATTACGGTATAATTAAAAGTATGGCACGATAAAGCGCAATCATTGAAAACATAATTGTTTGCTTGTATATATGTATCTTGATCGAATTCAAAAAAATACTATGATTTTTTATCTATTATCACCGGTTAGAGAGAGAGTAAGTGCTCAACTTCATTTTCAATAATAAAATGATTGAACAGTATGACAGTAGAAATTATTCTCAAAAATGATAATTAAATATTTCAGCATATTGTAAACAGATTTAAAAATCACTGTCACGTGACATTCATCATCACTATTTCTACTACTACTACTAATGCTATTCCTGCCAATCATAAATAATAGATACCATTTGAGTTCTTTTTCAACCATTCACGGTAGTCTCATACACTTGACTCATTATTGTATTTAGTTGTATATCAAATAGTATGTTTTTTTTGTGATATGTCAATTCGAACTTTTACCTTAATTCAGACAGAAGTAGCCAAGTAAAACACGCACGATACAATGGTTGTGTATATGCAGATAGTGTGATCCACACGCCCACCGGTATTTAGTGTGCCACACAGTTTATTACCATTGGTTATAAATTAATCAAGTCTGTCACCTGACTTTGCCGTGTGTCTTATTTTTAAGTGTCCTTATTTTTATATTCCGTTAAAATGTAACATCAATTCAACATTGGAAATGCGGCATTCTTGCTGTTATTCTTGTGGCTAGATCAAGATGTTTCATGAATGAATTTTCTGCAAATCATTTGAATTCTTTTCGTAATTTATTCTGGAATTTTCAGCATTAAATACTCTGTCTGAAGAAATACACACGCATTTCTTAGTCACAAAAAGCTATCCACATTTTTGTACTATTATTTATCAGATAACTACTATAGGAGCTTTTATTGTTTTTTTTTGTGAATTTAACTACATAGTGTGATTGGTTCGCTACAACCGCTACGACCTGAACAATATATTATGCATCATCAAGCTGGTTCGATTAAACAACAAGAAATGTTAATTTTAAACCCACAGACTGGTGAAGTATTAACTGATCAATATTCAACACATCATCAAACAAATACAATAACAACAGGTAGTACGCATCATTTTGCTAGAAATATATCATCAAATACTACTATGGTAGTACCTACAGGTGGAAATGTTAATGGTCCTGTATCTGGATCTGGAACAACAGTGGGTCAACAGAAAAGTTCGACAATTTATCCTAAAACTGGTCAAAATCCTATTGACGGAGGGATAAATGGAGGTGTTGGTGCTAATAGCAGTGGAAGTGCTGGTGGTGGAGGTGCTGCTAAGAGTGGAGCATCAACTGGTGGTGGTTTGGATAGATCTCGACAAGTGTACAATATGTTTGAATGTCAAATGTCACAGTTGACAGTATTTCTGGATCGTGCACTTATATGCCGACGTATTAGACCACGTTTCAATGCATCGGATATTACAGAAGTTGTTTTTGAACATTTATCACCAGCTATTGATAAAGATTCTATTCGGTAAGTTGAATTTTGCTTACTTGGTATTTTACTATTTATCATTGAAAACTTTAGTGAATGTTGCTATTTAGTGTATCATTAACAGAAGAATCAAAAAAATTAATTTCAATTACGTTATTTGTACAGGCTGATTAGTCACTTTTCTTGTAATGCTCTAGTATCATTTGATGAAAAATTAGTACAGTGACTTCAGTAGACATTTGTATTCCCATTAGTTCTGAAGTTCTTCTCATTGTAAAATCTGTGCTTTAAATAAAGCATGTTAATCCAAGCTACACTGACATATTCATAGTGCATAGCGGTGAATACTTTCAGACACATAAAATGAGGTCGTTCATAGAAATTACACTTCAATAAAGCATATTTACTTACTGAACCAAAGAAAGTACTGAACACAACACTCATTGGCCACTGAGAACGTTGCAGATCAATTCAACCATTTTTTATTTTAATTAAGAATTAGCCTATATATGAAATCCTAAAGTCTTTTGACAACATATTCTACAAAATTATTTAAAATAAGTATTTCGTTCATCTATTCTTGTAATCTTATGTTGTACTTATTATTCATTGTAATTATTTTTTTTTTTGGAAATTCTTTCTGTTTTCTAAATGTACTGTTACTAGTCATCAGTCAGAGATTAATAAGCTTTTCTTGTAGAAATAACAACTCACCTTATTTCAAATAAATTCCAATAATTTCATCAATTAAGTTAATAGATACTGAGTACAACAAAAGTTCATTTAATTAATGATTAATCTGACAACAATCACATTTTAAATGTGACTAATGAAAAATTATTACTATTGCTATTATTATGAGGCAAACTATGTTGAAAATAATGACATCATTTAGTCGGTATATTATCTAGTTATCTTTCTAAATGAAACCAGCCAGTTATATAGTTAGTTTTCAGGCAGAGTTTTAGATGTTTGTGTTTTTACACATTTGAAATCATCAATCAATCATTGTTCGACAACCATTAGAAACCTGGAAGCACTGGACAGCCGTTTCGTCCTGGTATGGGACTCATCAGCAGTGCGCATCCACGACTCCTGCACCTTGCAGGATTCGAACCTAGGACCTTCGATATTGTGCGCGAACGCCTAACCATCAGACCACCGGGCCGGCATTCAACGGTATTAATGTCTAAATTAGTGTCGAAATTGCATTTTATACGGTTTTTTTTTGGGGGGGGGAGTGGCGGGGTTAAAAACGATTCACAACTGTCATGATCGACTTTCATGGTCAAACGAATTCAGGTAGCTTCTTTATTTAGATTACTTTTCGATATCGATATTTAAATCACTGAAAAACTAATATGCAGTAAAAATGTTTCATCTATTTTCGACTTGATAAATTGACACAAATGAGATCTATTGAAATTATGAATCGATCATTCTTAGACTATCATTAGAGACTTAGAAGCACTGAACGATCATTCCGTACTAACTTAAGACCCATCAGCAGTGCACATACACGACCCTCACTCGTGGCAATCGAATCCAGGATTTTGGGTCTCGCAAGCGAAGGCTTAACCTCTAGACCACTGAGCCGGCATCCAATGGTGTTAAAGTCTAACTTTAATCAATCCAAGCCATCGTGCAACGGCTGCCCAATGTTTCCAGGTTTCTAATGGTAGTCTAACAATGATGGATCGATAATTTCAACGAAATTCAATAATCTCCAAAAATCAAAGATGGATTTTTGTTTCAAATTTGATTGAAAAAAATCACTTGCTGATATAAATCACGTGTTGATTTGTTAACTTCTACATAATTTCATTTGCAGATTAAAACTTCTCTGACAATCTCCAAAAGTAATTTTATCAGAAACTAATATATATTAGAAAACTATTGATAATCTATAAATGATCATTTTTGTCTGATTATTACGTCCGGTTTTCATAAAATGGTTTAACTTTTGCTATTTTCTTCAGTTCGGCATTTTATGCATTGACTTTGACAGCAATTAATCATTAGTACAATTAATTTAAAAATTAATTGTTTAAAGTTGATAATAAAAAAATGGATAAGTCATGAAGTTTTAATCATTTTTGAATGTTACCCCATTTTCTGTTCAAAATAAATGATCGAATATTTATTTTATTCTTAGACTGATTGTTTTTATTTTTTTTGAATTTGATCCTAATGAAACTGAACAGTTTTTCCATGTTCATTCGGTAGACCAATTATGTTTTAAGGGCCCCTAAATGCCCTGGTACGTCCAATAGTGGAGAGTGTCCACACTTTCCTACTCGAAATGTTTTCACGTGGTCACGTGTAAATGGCCACTGTTAAGGAAGCTATACTCACTACTTTCCCTCATCAGAGGTGTTGTTTACGAAACTGAGAGGACGACAATTGGATGGCTGACTCTCAAACTGGGTTGTTAGGTACAGAGAATCCATATTTGGAATTTGGAAAACTCTGGTTGTAAACTCGTGATGCAGATTCGCTCCATAACTCGGAAAGAACAAATTATTTAGGAATGTACCGTTGGTCAGTGGCTACTAAATGACTGCATCTCCTGGCGCTGCCCCATTACCTTGTGAATTAGACTTTTCGGCCAAAGAACCGCGGTTCGGCTCTTTGTAAAACCATTTGCTTCGTTTTAAGCATCCAGGTGGTATCCCAGTCTACTCATAAATTCACTAATTTGTACGGTACATTAATATGTAGGTGCTTCTCTTTGTACCAATGATCATATGTTTAAATAAGTAAATATTTCAAAGAAGCAATAAATCCTCTATCCTTATCATTAAGGTTGTTATTATTATTATTTTTACATTTAGCTTTTTCTGGAATTAACTCATTCCAATGTCGACTAATTCATGTTTACTTTTCGTTTATAATCATGTACTTTACAGTATTATAATTCATTTATAATTCATTTTCATCACATCACATATTTGAATAGGATCGACTGAGAATGAACATGTACATAGATTATTAATGAAAAGTAATGTCTACGTAATCTGAGACTGGAAACTAGAATTAATTAATTAATTAATTGTTTTTTTTTTAATAATATAATTTAATTTCATTTATTTAGGAATATATATTATGTTTTTTTCCACACTATTATTGTTCATGTATATAAGTTGAGTAATGTTTGATGAATAATTGATTGATCATTGTCCAATGATCAATGTCATATTTGTCTAATCCTCTTAGTGCTGGTCGAATGCTATTGATCAATTTTCAATGTGGTCAGTTAGCATTAACTAGCTACTTATGTTTGATTTATTCTGATGTTTATAGACAGGATTGTACTTTATTTTTTTAATTTTTAATAAGAATAATAATGGTTTGAGTTAATGTTTGGATGAATACAATTCACTTTCCATTGAGTATGAACTATTCTTCATTCACTGAATAAATTAAAATGTGTAACTTTTTTCATCCGTTTTAAAATGTTACTTTCCAAACCGACTTTAACTGTCGTAAGTGATTAATCATAGGTTGAATTGAATAGGGTTGAAACTATTTATTTGTCAATTGAATGAGAAGTATGATGGCTAGAGCTTTCATTTGTCTAGTCACCAAACTTGAAAACTTCCCAGGATAATGATGCTGTTGAAGATGATTTACAGAAGAGAGGAGGTGTATTGTCTCAAAACATTCACCAAAAGTTATCCATAAAATCCAGAGCTTTTATAATCATTTCTTTATTGAGTTTCATATTGAAATGTTAATTTTCATTTCAAACTCAAATATTTTGATAGTGAATGATGTTTATTCACAATAATGTCAATCTATGTATGACAATGAAATATATTCACTGAGAAAAAACGAGAAATAAATTCATTCATGTGGAAGAGAAATTTTCTAATTGATTAATTATACTCTACTATGCATTACTTACAAAGTAGGCGACTCTAAAGTGTTAGAAGTACAATAGAGAGTTAGTGAAGAGTGTAAGCATATTTTCAAATAATCTCATCCATGTAACTGTTATCATTTAATGGTGTTTTGACTTGTTTCGACTAAATGTATGTATGTATATATCTCCATGTTTTCGATTCTATTTTCATGTACTTATATAATCACAGTTACTGCATTCTGTTTATCCCTCCTTTTTTTTATCATGTTTCTTTTAATAATCACGATTTTTAATATACATACATATACGATAGAATGACAAGTTCTTTGTTTTGATTATTAGTTCCAATCAAGTGTTAAAAAGTTATTTAAGATTAGAATAAAAGAATATATATAGATATTTACAACTTAAATAGATATCATGTGTTTTTGCCTAATTCTTGCCTTTTTCTTTTACTTATCAATTATTATTATTATTATTATTATTATTCGTGATCAGTTGAAATGAGGTTGTGATGTGGGGGGTTTGTAGGAAGACAAACAACAATTTTCATACAAATCAGTTTAGAAATCTTTATATTAATCGTGATGTGATAAAAATAGAAGTTGGCAAATTTTTATTAATGTCAAAAATTATTTTTCAATCATCTAGTAGTATGTATACATATATATCTGTAGTACATTTGCTTTCAAATATGTGGTACATTTTTCCACATGATTTATGAAAAAGTACAATTTTGGACAGAATATCGAAATGTTTAACAGCAGATTATTAGTTGAAGCAATGATTTTTTTATATTTTGAAGTATATGATGATCTGTCCAAAAAAAAATTACGAAATTTACAATAGATTACATTTATTATTATACCATGCAAAAAAATTTTAATTCAGATTTGCAATACGGGTGTAGACAGTAACTACCGAAGACTGTGTATGAGGTTGCGCAACTCCATGAATTGATCAAGTTAGACATTAACACCGTTAGATACCGGCTCAGTGGTCCGATGATTAGGCGTTCGTCGACAATACCGAAGGTCCTGGGTTCGAATCCTGCGGGGTACAGGAGTCGTGAATGCGCACTGCTGCGGAGTCCCATACCAGGACGAAACGGCCGTCCAGTGCTTCCAGGTTTCTAATGCTGGTCTAACATTGATCGATTCATGGTTTCAAAAAA